CTTGAGTGCATTCAACAAACTATTTCCTCTCCATGGAGTGGCAGAACATTGGCAGGGCCCTTGTTCTCCTGCTTTACCTGTAGCAAGTTAAAGGGTATTTTAGACCAGTGGGGACCAATCTTTTTGGCAGGTGTGCCACAAATTAGTTTGGCACCCTCCCCAAGTGCCATTCCAATTCCCCTGCCTGATCTGCAGCTCTGCTTTCTGCTTCCTACCCTATCTGCTGCTGTGTGCCTGTCCTGTCCTCGACCTGCTGTGTGCCATACACACAGGCTGCCTGTGCCACTTGTGGCACCCATGCTGCACGTTGGTCACCCACTTTAGATGCTTTGGGTATTATACCTGGTAGTTGTATGTGAGGGTTATTCACAAAGTTTTTAAGAGCAGGTTAGACACACCACTGTCTAAGATAGTTTGGACAGGGATGATCCTGCCTGGAGCAGGGGGTTATATTAAATGACTGCCTGAGGTCCCTTCTAGCTGTACTTTTCTATGAAGATGTGTGCCAGGGGGTCCAAATCTACCATTTTTAGCTGGAATTCACATGCCACTCACTAGCATGTTACTGTTTGCATCTAAGAATCTCAGGTTTTTGTAGAACCAAATTTGTATCAATTCATATCAATAAGGAAAACATCTGCGCTTCAGCTCTCTTGTAATATGGACCTCAGACATGGTCAGAAACATCTAAACCCTGTACTCATAATGCACTTCATGATGCCCTACCCTTTCAGTCCATACAATGTTTCTACGTGCTTAATACGGTGCTTTTCACTCTTTACAACTAACTTGCTATATAAGGTCTCTTCTGCTTATGACGCTGGGGTTCAACTCTATGAGGATGAGTTAATCATTTATAGGTCTTGTGACCCATTTGAACTTGGTCATTTCCAGAAATAACGAGTGACTTGATTTTAAAATATGTAAAGATTATTTATTTGGCAATAGGCCCCAAATGTCAAAGAGGTCAAAAAGAATCCCTTTCAGTGAAGGTCTGTCTCTTTGCGGCTACAGTAATGTCTAAGCAACTGCCCTTGCACACCACTGCAATAGCCGCAAACATTCAGATGAAACAATGGAAGGAAACATTAGTATTAGCAAGAAAAGACATGGAACTCAGGGATGGGAGAGGAAGTTCAGAGAGAAGCCCCTTCTTCCACTCCACTCAAGTCTATCTATCCTATTGCCCGTCATAATAGTATTTAAGCATCTCCCAGATAACCAATATCTAGTACCCTCACAGATTCCATGAAGTCTCTGGCACTTTTCCTTTTTTGAGATAAAGATGCTACTTGGGGCTGAAGCTGATGCTAGGCAGACGTGAACATAACTGAGGAAGGCTCTGCAGTGTTTCCCAAAAACGTGTCTAACCTTTGTATCACATCTCTATTTTTATTTAAGGGGCACCCATATGTGGGACTGGCTGGGCAGTAAAGAATTCTGACCATTCATTCAGTTTTACTGCCAATTTGCAGTAAACACTTCTGACCATTCATTCAGTTTTACTGCCAATTTTCATACTAGGAGCTTCCAAGAAATCTTCTGAAATTGTCACCCAGAAAACCTGCCTTGTGGTCTGTCTCATAGGAAGTTCATATCACCAAGAATATGAGAGAAAACAGAAACCAACAGTCTTCATTCCATTAAAAGGGAAGGAAAACAACTTACTCTGCAAAAGGGCTCCTTTGCTTGGATCTCTTTGGCACTTATCAGTCTCAGATCTCTGACATTATTCTGCAACCCTCTTTCATACAGTGCCTTGAGTCTTGGGATTTCTTCTTGTTCCACTGCTACAATTAGCTTCAGAAAGAATGTAAGAGTGCAAAGGTGAGTCCTACTGCAATACCTAATTTACTGAGTGTGGAAATACAACAGAAAAACTACTGTTTGGTGCACTAGTGAGTGCAAAGTTATATTAAACCCTTGCCAATGCTAACTAATTAAGGGATATGTGAACAACAGGTGCTACAAAATAATATAAGTGCTTCACTGTGGAAGATATTTGCAGCCAGGACTGTGGTGCAAGAAATCAGAGTGAGAAAGAAGGGGAATAGTTTGTATCCTATCAGGATACTTTTAAAAATAATGCTTGGTCTGACCCCAGCAACCAGGTAGCTTGAGATGTAAAAGAATGGGAAAGGGAAAAGAAAGATATGCAGTGGGCTGCCATCTCACTTCAATGTCTTATTGTTTAGGCCTGTGGGCAGACTTAATCTGAATTCCTTTAAAGAAAAAAAAAACAGGGCACAAACACCCCCCCCAACCCCCCAACACACACAGAGATATGTTCGGGTCAACTCATGGCTTCCACAAAAGTCTCTCCTTGGGAAATGACCATAACAATGTGCTTGGTACAGTTAAAAATGGACATATCACATGACTAAGCTTTTTAAAATAAAAAATGAAGCAGCTACTGTACCTTGCCACACTGCTTATAGGGAATTCCCTTTTGGTCACAGTACTCATAGCAGAGGGCAGCGCCCTGCACACATAACTTAGCTTTCAGAGATCCAGGAGTGTAGTAAATTCCACTGTGAATTACTCCACTGTTATGTCCACTCTGGTGGCAGGCTACACAAAGACAGAAGTTACGATATTAAAATACATGTTCTATGCAGATTAGATTCTTGCAGTATCTTAAAACTTCTAGCTGTCAGGAAATTGATCCATTTAAGCTCTGTCCTCTTCTATTCCCCAGCAGTAAGAGATCTTACAAAGGATCTACACACTCCTCAAGATTTCTCCCTTAGTTCAGGAGGGCTCCAACAATACTGACACCATGTCTACACCACAATAATCACAGTGCATCATGTACTGAATGGACAGAAAAGTAATTAAAATATTTTCTCCAAGGAGATTTGCAGCAATCGCATGCAAATCAATTTACTGCATATACATTAACAGCGGTTCTAAAATGAAATCCATCCTACAGCTCCTCCCTGTACCACAAAACCAGCGGGGTCCTGAATGCCTTTCACAAAGCTGGCAGTCCTGCTTATCTTGTAGTGGACAATCATACACTTGTAAGTCAAGCCTGACTGTTAACTTCCTCTTACTAGGAAGTAAAACAGAGGGAAGACAGACAGGTGTTAAGAGTGAATGTATTTATCAAATTTAACTTTATTTAGTAGTAACAGTAGTTTATTTAGAGCCTTCACTAAAACAGTGAATAATAAATACATAAACAATAACAAGTAGATATAATAATACATTTATTATAATCATAAAAACTGAGAACTACATAGGACAAACCCCACAGCCACAGACAGCTTTTTTGCTCTTCTTCCCTATGTTTCTAGAGTCCCTGGATAGGCGTGCCTCGATTCTTCCAGTGGGCAACTACCCATGCATTTCAGCAGCCAGAATACATGGTTCCTGTTCCCTTCCCTGCCACTCCAAGAAACACTCACTTTTTTGTTAACTTCTTAAAAACCAACAATATAATGTTAAAATTAAAATACCTTTATAATGATCAACTGTAAAATATAGCAGTTTTTGAAGGATCTGAGTTTTTTAGTAAAAAAATCTCTTACCGATGGACCCTAGGGAACTAGAAACAGTCTAATGAAGACAAGGGGAGCTTACTTAGCAGTCACTGATATGGTACCACATACACCATACCTAGCTCTTTCTCCTTTTCCAGCACAGCAAAAGTGAGGGATGGATGTCGCAGAACAAGCTCTCTGGCAGATGCGAGCCCCACAAGTCCACCACCAACAACAGCCACGTTGAACGTGCTATTTACAAGCAAAAAGATTGTGTCACAAGGGGTTACTACGAATAGTCTTTACACAGGTTCAACGGCCACCAGGCTCCACGCGACAGCCTCTATAACCCCCTCGGTACAGTCCAGGCCCCCTTAGTCTCTACACAGGCTCAACAGCCACCAGGCTCCATGCGAGTCTCCAGCCCCCCTCCATAGCCTCCAGCCCCCCTTGATAGTATCTACACCCCCTGCAATAGTCTCTACACCCCACGCTAGACTCCAGGTCCCCCTCAGTAGCCTCCAGACGCCCTCGATAGTCTCTATAAACCCCTTGATAGTCTCTATATCCCCCCTCAGTAGCCTCCAGACCCCCTCGATAATCTCTATAGCCCCGATAGACTCCAGACCCCCTTGATACTCTATAAACCCGATAGACTCGATAACCCCCTCAGTAGCCTTCAGACCCCCTCGACAGTCCCTCTAACCCCCTTGATAGGCTCTATAACCCCCTTAGTAGCCTCCAGACCCCCTCGATAGTCTTGATAACCCCCTCGATAGACTCCAGACCCCCTCGATAGTGTCGATAACCCCCTTGATAGACTCAATAACCCCCTCAGTAGCCTCGACCCCCTCGATAGTCTCAATAACCCCCTCATTAGACTCCAGACCCCCCCGATAAACCCCTTGATAGCCTCTATATCCCCCTCAGTAGCCTCCAGACCGTCTCGATAATCTCTATAGCCCCCTCGATAGACTCTATATTCCCCTCGATAGCCTCCATCCCCCTCCACAGTCTCCGTCACCTCCTCAACAGGCTCCAGGACCCCGTGGACAGTCGTTACACCCCCTCCACAG